AGGACGGGCTGTGGTGGCAGGGGTACGTTGGGAACCATCTCTCGGAATTTCGTGACTCTGGAAGCGGATTTAAGGAAAACCTTCTTGCCGTGCGCGACGAGTTTGTCAACATCGGGGAAGACGAGCCGGATTTCTTCGGCTACTCGATGCACCGCGTGCGCTGTACAAGTCAAATGTAACATTCTCGGGAAAAGGACCTTGAGGGCCTTGCCTGCCTTTTTCATATAGGCTGCACCATCCGACACGAACAATAGAACCTTGTCGTGCTCAACTTGTTCCGGCCAGAGAAGTCTTAATGAGTTCATGAAGACCTGAGAGATCGTCGTACTGTTTGTCGCTTCGAGATTTTCGGCGTGCAGGAGGAAAGATTTGCTTGCCTGGGCTTCTAAGGTGCCGACCACTACGTGAGCCACGAAGCGACCCGTGGCGTCCGTGGTTTCATCCACGGAAAGCCAAATGAATTTGCCGTGAACGTAGCTCCTGATGAATTCCAGTTTGCTTTGGTACACATCCCGAATGTAATTCTTGCGACCGAACAGGGCGTTCGCTGAGTGGAGTACTTTTCGAAGAGAGCTCGCAGCTTTTGATTGTCCAATTTATACAAGGGTATGCCGGCTGACAAGAATGCATCGCAAAGATCCAGATTGAATTGAGATTTCTTGCCCGATGCCTCGAGGTATGGAATAATCTGAGGAACGCTGGAGGAATTTGACTGCTCTTTCTTTTTGTTCAACGACGATTTGTGTCGGACTCCATTCACATGCTGCATAACTAAGAACTTCTTATCAGCTGAGACTTCTCGTTCACAGACTTTGCAGAATAAAACTTGACCGTCAGAGGAGAGTATCTCCTCACCAAAAAGTTTCACGTACGTTCCCAGTCTCGACCTGGTGGACGGTTTTTCTCTCGGCATCCTCGAGGCGGCACTGTAATCGCTCGACTTGGTCGCGAGATCAGGACGTAAATCAAATGCTCCTTAACACAATACCCCGGAGCTGCGTAAATCTTGGATTCCGAAGACGTCGATTCAGCTTGCACAACAATTGATGCTTCGAGGCACCACGCTGGCGCTGTCAAATTGCGCGTCTCCGAGGCTGTCACGTGACCCGCGCGTCAGACGGCGTGCATCGCACACGCCCGAACGAGACGGATACAGATAAACACCTACCGAGGATGCCAGGACTTCTTATCGAAATCTTCATACTACACATATACACCCACTTATCGCTCCCATCTCAGATAGCCCTACTCGCATTAAATCACAGAAAATGCATTTTATGCGGTGAAATTCCAAAACATGCATTTCGAGCCGAAAATGACCCGATCATGCATT